AGCCCGGCACCGTGACGGTTCGAGGCTCCATCAACAAAAAGTTTTCACATTTCGCCGACAAAGAGCTTCCAACACTCTGAGGGTTCCTGAGAAGCTTGAAAGTTGATGGAATCACGGTTGCTCGGCTGTTCGGCTTCCGGTCCCGTGACGAGCGGTTCCACTTCAGCCCCCCTTGGTGATTCGGCGTCGGACTCAGCAAGTTGATTCACAATGCCTAAGTCCGTGGGCGAATCGCCAGGTTGCGGTATTATGCCGGCCGCAGGCTCTGTGCTGAGCGGTTCCATTTCTTCCCTCCTCAGTGATGTGGTGTTGGATAAAGCGGGTTGGTTAGTGCTAGCCAACTCCGTCATCGCATCACCGGGCTGTAGTTTCGTACTAACTGCCGGGGCTTCGGCGGGGTGCGCAAGTTCCGCGTCGCCAACGCCGCCAAGCTGTGGTATTTTGGTGGAGCTTGCATTCACCTCTCCATCTGCCTCGGCAATATCGACCGGGCATACCGGATGAGTTCCGGGTGAGAATTCAGTAACGAAGTCGGCCAGAGTCTGGGCTTTTATGGCTGTGCGTGGCTGGAACTTCACATCAAATTGTCTCAATTCGACCGCCCACTTAAGAATCCGACCGGAGAAGACTGCCCGTTCGAACAAAGCTTTGAGAGGGAACTTGGTCAAGACGATGATGGTATGGGCATGAAAATAGTGCGCCAACTTCCTTGAAGCTATCATCAATGCTAACACAAGTTTTTCCAGCGGCAAGTACCTCGACTCTGCCGGTAGCAAGGTTTTGCTGACATAGAAGATGGGTAGATGTTTGATTCCTTCCGACCGGACAAGCACTGCACTGACCGCATGCTGCGATACGGCCAGATAAAGGTAAAGTTCTTCTCCGGGCTCTGGTGTGACCAACAGCGGTGTTGAAGACAAATATTCCTTGAGCTCGGCCAAAGCCCGGTCACATTCTTCATCCCATGAGAACTTTGATTTTAAGGCTTGAAAGAAAGGGCGACAGCGATTTGATGACCGACTTATAAATCGATTAAGCGCGGCGGCCATTCCGGCCAGATGCTGCACATCCTTAGCCGAGCTAGGCTGCTTCAACTCTTGCACTGCTCGGATTTGTGTAGGGTTTGCTTCGATACCTCGGTTCGTGACTAGAAAACCCAAAAATTTTCCGGATCCCACGCCGAAGGCGCACTTAGACGCATTCAAGCGTGGCTTGTGCTTTTTGAGAATGGCGAACATCTCGGCCAAATCGGACAAATGGTTTGCTTGATGCCGGCTCTTAACCACCATATCATCAATATAGGCCTCCATTGTCCGGCCTAGCAGAGGAGCGAACATCTTGGTCACCATTCTTTGAAAAGTTGCCCCTGCGTTCTTTAAACCAAAAGGCATGACTCGGTAGCAGAAGAGCCCCCTTGGTGTAGTAAACGAGGTGACCTCTTAGTCGGGCCCATACATGGCAATCTGATGGTAGCCACAGTAGGCGTCCAAGAAACTGAGCCAGTTATGTCCAGCCGTTAAATCCACAAGCTGGTCTATTCTAGGCAGAGGGAAGCTGTCTTTCAGACAAGCTCGGTTGACGGTCTTGTAGTCAACGCAAACTCGCCACTTCCCATTCTTCTTGGGCACCACGACCGTGTTGGAAATCCACCGTGGGTAGTGCACTTCCTGAATTGCTCGCGCCTCAAGCAAGTTCTTCACTTCCTTCGCAACTACCTCGGCGTGAAGCAACGCCGATCTCCTTGTTCGTTGAATGACCGACTTTGCCCCAGGGAAGACATTGAGATGATGGCATATAAAGCTCGGATCGATACTGGGCATGTCGTAAGGTGTCCATGCAAAGACTTTGATGTTGGCCATCAAGAACTCAACCATGTCGGTTCTTTCTTGGGCTGTAAGGCTTGAGCCGAGCAAGAAGAACTTGTCCGGATGCTCAGTATCAATGCGCACTTCTACCAATTCCTCGACAGCTTTATCCTCGGCCTTGGTGCCCACATCGTCGAGGACTCCCCGGTCTTCCGGTCCCTCAATCATTTGAACGAAGCCTTTGGCAGCTCGGCTCCCGTTGACCACCATGAAGCACTGCTTTGACATGACTTGATCGCCCTAAATTTCCTCGATTGCCCCCATAACCGAGGGGAATCTCATCACCTGATGATAGGTCGACGCTACGGCTTGCATAGCGTGAAGCCATCCCCTTCCTAGGATCAAATTATAAGTGGATGGCACTTGCAAAACCCAGAACTCCACTTGTTTGACCACGGATCCCGCTTTGACCGGCAGGATAATCTTTTCCAAAGGCCACTCCGGTTGTGAGTTGAAACCAACCAGTGGCGAGTTGCTGGGGCCATATC